ACCTCCCCCGCCGCCCGGCGCGCTGCCGGCGGTGGCGAAAGCCGCAGTTTCGGCTCGTTTGTTCTTTTCGCCGCCCCGGGCATGCCTTGAGAGAGCCGCGAGAGCCCGCCGCCTTCGTCCGCTTCCGACGGATGTCTTCGGCCGTGGCCGCCGCGTTTGCGGTCTGAGACTTGGTAGCGTCTGTCGGTGTGAAATTCCCATGATCGCAGGCTGAAGGAGGAAGAACTGGAAGAAAGGAGCAGCGGTGTTGGTTTTTCTTCTTGCTGGGTCAGCCTGCCTGGATGGTTGCGTTACTCTCTTGCGGACACATTGTCAAGCGCGTACAGAGAAAGAGGCTTGGTTATTTTTTCCCGTGATTGGTTTTCGTCGGGATCGTCGTGCAGAAATACCCACTTTTCTCCCAGTTTGCTGGTCCGCACTGAGGCAGCGGGAATATGCTCATGAAGGAGTACCGGATCTGTATGCCTTTGACAGTCGAGGAGGTAAGCTCTGCCGCTGCTAACGGTTCCGCTGGTTCTTCCTAAGGGTTTTCTCAAGGCGAGGTGAGGTTGTATTTGTTTCACTGAGTCTTTTTTCTTCGTGTAATAAACTTAGTCGGAGATTATTGGCTAGCGAGGTATGTTTTTATTGGAAAATAAGGGAATCCTACAGGAACTTAAGGGATCAAAAGCATTGTGTCCTGAAAGTATTGCTTATAAAGATTTTCCAACCAGACTTTTTAAGAAGAATCTTAGGTAAGAGAATGCTGTGCGCTGAAATCTTCTGTCAAAGCGTTTGTCCAAAACCCAGATTCTAAATATATCTTCACCTTTGCTTAAAATACCCTTGGTGGCCTGGAACTCTGGCACAGGTAGGGTAGGTACGTGCTAATTGATTGGCAAAACTTTTTTTTTGCCATTTAAAGAAACGATTGAAAGTCAAACCGCGCTTTGTGGGTGTTCTAAACTCTGTGTCGGGAACGTTATGGTTTTATTTCTCTGCCGCCGTCCCGCCTGGTTATTGCGGTGCCTCGGTGTCCCGCACGTGCTGCGCGCCCACTGCTGCCCGCCGGGGCGCGGTGGCGGTGACGGAAGCGAGACGGGGCTGTCGCCTTTGCAGCGCCTCGCACGGATATACATTAAAAAAGGCAGATGTTCTATTGGGGCGTATACGCTGTGGCAGCGGGCATCGCGGAGGGGGAACAAGCCCGCT